GGGGGGGCAGCAGGCACCGGGGGAGCAGATGGGGCGAGGGGAGGAGAAATGGAAACAGAGAAAAGGGAGAGGTTTATAAGATATTTATTAAGAAATTGGGTGCCACAATGGCACATCCAAACAAGCGCACATGAATTCAATACTGGTGCACAAGACAAAATTCACTCCACTCATGGGAGGAAAATCTTAGAGGGAACACTTCTCCCAGCCTCTCCCCCCAAGTTAATACAATGCAAATGGGGTTAATGAAATTGCAGGATAGTTACATGGAATGTCCTGTGAGGGCCAAACCCGTCCCTATTGGTAGGAGGACGGGGAGGAATTCTTAGAGGGGTCACATGATACCCTTTACTTCTGGTTATGTGTCCATCTTGACCCTGGTCATTTGTCCATCTTGATCCCAGGAGTACTACCTTCAGAGGTGGGACTTCTTATGGCAAGGGGCGTGGATAATGGGGATCAAGGGGTATGACTAAAGGGGGGCCAGGAGGCATGGCTAAAGTGTCCCTAATTTTAGTTCAGAAAATATGGTCACCGTATATTTACCTCAAAGCAAGAAACAGGGAAGCATCCTACTCTTAGATAGCCTTCTACATTTGTGGGTCAGTAATGTCAAAAACTGATGACTTCCCCTTTCCTACTAAAGTTAAAATACACCTAACAAACCCTGTTACATTTGAGCTCAGGAAATTGGTACTCTGAAAATCATTTAATCTAAACAGTCTTATTAGACAAGGCTCTGTCAATATCTTGTAAGTCCCAAATCCACTTCTCTGCTGTCATCACATCTATTAATTGAACCCTGTTCTCATTTTTATGCTGTACGTGATACCATAAAGATTTCTGAGATCACCTATTACAACTCAGTGCTCTTTGCAGGTCCCTAATTCTATCAAATATTCTTTCTTCGCCCTTCTTGACACAATCCTTTGCCCTGGTGGCACCTTCAAGTTTACCCTGGAGGCAGAGAACAGTTTTTGTTATGTGGATCTTTGGATTTTTTACTACTTAATAACTAATCACAATCACTAGTATACTTGCTATGCTTTGAACAAGTCTAGTGTCCTATTTTAAAGGTATACAAATATCTTGTATTTTTTCAGTTCCCTCAGTGCAGAGGACAAGTCACAAGAGCTATGTTCTGGACGAACCACATCTTCTTCTTCTTTTAGAAAAAGTAGTAAAGAAAGAACAAGGTATGACCTTAGGTTTTGTTAACAGTCAGCACACTCTGATTGCATAAACAGTCAGGCTGTGTCTAGACTACAGAGTTTTGTCGACAAAAGTGGACTTTTGTCGACAAAACTATACCTGCGTCCACACTACCGCTGAGTTCTATCGACATAACGTCGACAGAACTCAGCAGTTTTGTCGACGTATGTAAACCTCATTCTACGAGGAATAACTCCTTTGTCTACGTAGTTCTGTCGACAAAACAGCAGTGTGGACGCAGGGGAAAAGTTAT